GTTCGTGATCTCGTCTTCGATCCCAAGGGCGCTGATACAACTTCCCAGGTAATTAAATTTCTGAACGACTTCTAGCTGATCCGCACCAAGAGTCATGGCAGGAGGCGATCCCTGCCAATCTTGGAGGAACGCTTTGCACTTCGATGGTGCAAAGCAAAGCCCGAAGCGGCTGACAGCCATCACAAGAAATTATCACCGTATTAACTGCCAGATGCAGTCCATCAGTGGACAATATTCCAACTTGACCGTTCAGATCCCTAGCGAGTATTGCTATGTCCGTGCTTCTTCTGTAACAAAGCAGCTCGTTCAATTGGCGATAAAAATCTCACCGAGTCATCGCTAGAGTTTGTGGGGGCGTAGGCAGCAATGGCAAACAGACACCTATTAGTCCCGCGCGAATTCGCTTATTTGAACGAACTAACCAATCCGACCACTCATCTGGCTACTGATTGGGATCCAATCAACCAGGTCAGCTTCAGCTCGGGGACTCAGGGTAATAGCAACACCGGCTTGGCCAGCACTCGAAGCTGCATCATCGGATAGGCGCAACGGAAAAGCACTGTTGATGTCACCTGAAGGGGATAGAGAAGCGAGCACAGAGCTCTAGTCTTGCGGACCGGTTTTCGATAAGCAGCAGCTACCGATCGATTGGGTCTCTAATGGCAGAGAAAGTGCTGCCTGTTGATCGATTTGTAACTATTTGCGTACGTTGCGCAACCCCAATCTGAGGGAGGTTCGGGGGCTCCAAATAAAGGCCGACGAACTGGTTTTGACTGTGTTGGTTGGGCATGGGCTTGTCGACCTGGCAAGATTGACGCTTCGCATTTGCGTATGTTGAACAAGAAGACAAACGCCTATCAACCAAGGTGGGGGAGGACCAAGAATTCGGGTGTTAAAACGGGGGGTAAACGGGAAGCTGAGACAGAACAATAAGGGTGCAAAAGCGTAAGAGGGGGAATAGGAGGACGGGAAGGCTTGCGCAGCAACATCCAAACTCCTATCCACTCTGCTTGCTGTAGCAGATAGGGCGCTCTTTGTTATCCTCTGTGACTATCAGAGCATCAGGAAATCATGTGCAGCGAAGTTCATAGTTGTATTGCTCAAGCTGGATGCTGTCAGGTTGCCCATGCCTATACAGGAAATCGATTATGGTTCTCAACCAATGCCTTTGGTTCAAAAACCTTACCGCAAGGCAGCGGGTTTGGCAGTGGACTACAATGATTCCGTTTTAAGGAATAAAGAACCACCCTTTTTCCAACCTGGAGTGCCAGGAGACTGAGTTTGTCTGGTCTCTAACTATTGACCAATTTGGTATGTGACTTTGAAGATGTGAAAATCACCACCTAGCATAGCTCAATGGATCACTGAGGCACTCAAATAATCGCACCATGTTAAGGTCCAGTCCAAATGATGATGAACATATTTACTTGGATACATTTGTTAACATAGCGAATAGCCTATCACGGTTTAGTTTGTTACCAGTTTATGAAATAAAACTAGACATGTTTATCTTGTTTTTTAGTTTTTTTCCTTTATGCTGTAACGTTATTTAACAGTTGTGGCATAGCAACTTGGAATGACTATCTTAAGGCACTTTATCATCAGATACGTAAAAGTCATTGGAAGGCTGTTCTTCCGATGAGGCCGAACGGATTAAGTGATAAGACAGCGAGGGACGGCGGAGCTTTTAAGAGTAGAGGCGTGCAACAGTGGTTTTCCTGTTTCTGAATGTTTCCTTTGCATGTCTACGATGCGTTCACTGATACGAATTCGTGTAGACCCTCACCAGTCGACCGGTGGCCGAGTGGTCTGCACATTTGCTTTGCAACCATGAGGTCACCGGTTCGAATCCGCGTAGGGGTGGGCGTCTTCGCGGGATACTCAGCCCGCGCGCGACTGGTGGTGATCGCGCGGCAGCGAAGCGCCGTTACGGCGTACAGCTGATACATTATTTATTATTATTATTAGACCCTCACCATCTGTGTGAGGCTGATGTCAATACCATGTTTGTGTGCTAGAGCAATGGTTACATCAATATGGCCACGAAGTACTGAATTATTACATCCACAGATCGAACTTTATCTCAACTGGGGCGGCTTGCGAGCCTATGTTCAAGGTGGTTTGTCGTACTTTCTGTTGATAGCTAGAGGCACTATGGACAGGTGTGACAATTACCACGGAACGCGTCTGAATTATAGAGCGCTATTGAGATACCCGGTAATAGACTTGCGTGCTCTGTATATTGAGCATGAGTTCGACTTATCTAATGTTGTGGTCATGGGTGGAGTTGCGAGCAACGGAGTGTGATTACCGATGCAGTGGCGCTAACTGATTACAACAGCTGCAAGAACGGAATAGAAGCAGTAGCTTTGGCGAATACTTTATCCAGCCAGTCCGATTGCCGTTGAGACACGGATCCGTTTGGATTGGGACCACAACCAGAGTTTTCTCTGTCAATGGAACGCACAGTGCGATTCACTGTCCAGGTTGAGATTGTGCGTCGTAATCCAATCACACAATGTCGGCCCGTAGTCTATAGGTAACGAGATTGTCTCATAATCTTACGGCGGAGGTTCGAATCCGCATAGGGGTGGGCGTCCTCGCGGTATACTCAGCCCGCGTGCGACTGGTGATGGTCGCATGGCAGTGAAGCGCAGTTATGACATAAAGCTGACACATCAGTTATTATTATTTACTTCAAATGAACCTCCAATCAATCATCCCCATTGCTTCACTATTGGGAGTGACACCTCTACATGTAACTATTGAACTCAAAATTCATGTCCCTGTTATCATTATTTTATCCCATTTCGCCCCTGATTACCGCATCATTTATCTACTGTTTTGTTTCTTTTGATAAGCTCTTTCTTTTAAGTGTCACGTTGCCCAGCAGCCACACCTACAGATTGTTCTCACATCACTGCAGTATTGTGACTTCTCGATCAGTTCCAAGGGTATTCCAAGATTTTGAATTAATTGATCACTTACATGAGTGCGTTGTGCATTAAATGACGACCCATCTGTTGACCATTTACCTCCTATTCCGCTTCTAAACGTCTTATGCGCACTATCGAGTATGAGCTAACATCCGCTTGGGACAAACTCGTGTCTACTTTCGTTTACTCCTTATGAAGCACAGAACACTTCTACCACATTACCGCTGGCAGTAGACGTTCTCTGTAACTGGCGTCGAGTACCATGGACCACCCTTCGTTTCCAACATTATGGACGTCATGAGATTCTTGTTCCCAAGTTTTTCGCCTTCTGTTTTATACAATTACCGTGATCCTTTAGTGTCATACCGGGGCTGCCCACACAACGACCTTAACGCATTTTTGCCTTATAGTGTGGTTATTTGTACCATCCGTTGAAGGTTCTCACACAAATTAATTTACAACATCGTCATCATTACTCATCATGCCGCACCACAGGTCAAATTATGTGACAGTAAAAAAAACAACAGAAAAATAAATAAACAAATCATATTGTGCATCGATTAGCTGGTGATAGGAGCGGGAAGGATAAGGACAAGGGAACGCCACTAAGCTCGTTTTTAAAACCCAAGCTCCGCAGTCAGGAAACATCAACTGAGACCGGGTTCAGCGTGCTAGCCCTCATTCCTCTTGACCAACTCATTGGCTGTCCTTTCTTCATTTCCACCCTCACTTCTGTCGCGCAAACAGTCATGTCCCGGGAATCGGTGTGCTGGCATGCATAACATTTGGCTCAACCGAGTTAGGACAGCTCCGTCTGTTCTGTTCACTCTGTTGCTGACCTTGATGCTTTCCACCGCCTCAGTGATTAACCTTTGGCTTGTTGCACGTACAATTCTTCTATTGATCTCAACATTATCACCGTTCATTCCGAGCCCCATGTCTAGCGCATGCACCGTTACAGCTGAATTCTTTAGTCGGACCCTTTATTTAGCTTGGCTTTTCGACGGATGTGAAATGTGCCTTCTGTGTTCTGCGCAACTCTCACTGTTTAACCTATGCACTCGTGTGTATAGTTTTGCTGCTAATTTTATGGATGCAGTTGATTTTTTCTCTGAGTATTGGATTCTTCAAACGGAGCTTGTGGCCACTTTAGAAAACCACCCTTATTTGCTTGTTTGACTTGTCTGACCGTTTCACTTCTTTCTTTATAAAGCATTCCCATCGTCTTATCGTTAAAATTGTTCAGACCAACGCTGCAAGCGTCTTGGCAATTTGTTGATAGGCTGTCTCGTCTCATCACATGTAGTTTCTCTAACGTTCTCCTGCTCCCACTTCATGTATAGGGCAGAATGAATCACGATGGCTACCAAGAGCAGCACCTGTTCCTTCAAGCTTTCAAGCCATTTCGCTCTTCATGGGTACCGTTTTGCTCGCACCCGACCTGGTTACATCGACGAGCGTCGGGAGATCCTTGGGGCTGCACAGAGACGAATTGTTCAGGCTGGTACTTGGATTTGCCACGTTTCACACACACTAGTGCAAATACCGTCCAGCAAACTTTCGACCAGTGGGCTTCAGCTGTATTCAGTGGGTGTTTGCTCAGTCCTCGCGACAGCGTACTTTGATATGCATTCGGAGCATTTGTTCTTGTCAGTTGGCAAGTGTCTGTAAACAATGTTGTGAGCGCCCACCGAGAGACACCCGGAGCTCGGCATCCACACAAATGCTCCGGACCGAGCGACAGTTTTGAACATTGCATCCTTCTGTTTTCAGCTGTTGTCGTGATCACTATCCTTGTGGACACTGGCCATGTGAGGCACAACATACCTTCAGCTAGGCTATCCACTCACTCCAACAAAGGCTGTTGCATTTATTTCTGGGGGCGAGAACCGCTAAGCTTGGTTGCTCCATGAGGACCTTTCGCTGTTTTGGTCCACTATTGAAACATGTCTCCAGTTGTCTCTATGCATGCATTGTCGCTAATTTTGCCCGTTGTCACTTGAGTTCTAACTTTAAAGCCTCTAGAAATACTATCTATAACACCTCTATTTTTCGACAGCGATCATGCCACTTTTCGGCAGCTCTTGTGACTATTCCAAGCTGAAATCTAACCTGCGCTTGTGTTGCAACCGCATGGGGCTGTTGCAAAAGAAGAAAACGGAGCTTGGTCTAAAAGCCCGCAAAGAAATTGCGGAGTTATTGAGGGTCCATAAAATTGAACGCAGTCGCATCAAAACAGAACAGATTGTTCGTGAGGATTATGTAATTGAAGTTATGGAGATATTGCAAACGTACTGCGATCTCTTGCTTACACGGTTCGGCATATTTGAGGCCTCCAGAGAAGTAGATGCCGGCTTAGAGGAGGCGATCGCTACCCTGATATGGTGTTGTCCTAGACTGTCCGCTGAAGTAAACGAACTAAATGTCATCAAACAATTGTTCGCCACAAAGTATTCAAAAGAATATGTTGCCGCATGTGCAGAAAACCGACTAAAGAAAGTTAATCCCACAGTGATGAAGAAGTTGGATTTGCTAGCACCGTCTCCCGCCCTCATTGAAATGTACATGGTAAGTCAGCTGTTGTGTGAGATGTTCATTTAATTCGATATATATGTATATATATGTATATATATACATATATATATATATATATATATATATATATATATATATATATATATATATATATATATATATATATATATATATATTCACACGTATGCGTGCAGATAATGTGCCATCAAAACCATAGGGAAATGGAAGACAATAGTAGAACAAAAGATATTTGTTTCTTCGTGTTTCACATACTCTTTTTCGATTGAGCATAAGTGATGGACTACGCTTGCTGAACGACACTGGCGCCACAGACGTCTGTTCCGGTCTCTGGCATGAAACTCGAAATCACTACGAGCCAGTGTCGCATGGCCGCCAGCATGGAGACCGGATTATGCCGACTGATGGTATGCTTGTGGTCACCTTCATTCCCGTTTTCCGTATCTCATTGGTTGTGCACCTCGGCACTTCTGGTTGCTTCAGGGAAGTGCAAATAACGCTCGAGGCTGAACGCTGTTTTTAGCCTCTTCCTATTACTTTGCGTCATTTTTGCTTACATGTCTGCATCAACTGCACCATTCCTCTTAGTTTCAATTTAGCATGGAGTAGTTGTACTCTTAATTTCTGCCACTCACGAGTCTTATGACAACTCGGTCATTTTCTCAACCGCTTTTGAACTGAACCTTGTTGTGTCGCACTGCTAGAGTAGACCAACTCAAAAAACAAACAAAGCAACAACAACAACAGCAGTACATCAGCCATTTGAACTGATACTTCGCCGCCATACAACCATGATGACTTCTGAAATAAGGAATAATAAGCGGGAGAGAAAGGGGACTTACCGGAAAAACTTAATGCCCTAAGCAGACATACATGCTCAAGACGCCTACACCTTGTGTAGGCAACATACCGTCACAGACAGCTGGCTATCATGCAAAGATAAGGCGACATCGGCGAGACAGCTTCCTGTCGGCTTTCACTGCCCTGCGTCATAATCAGCCATTGCCCAGCAGATGACTCAACACCAAACGCTCTTTAAACGGGCAATCCGATTAGGAGACGGCAGCAGACGCGCCACTGGTGTCGAATGCTATCCGTATCCTTTAAAGTTTCGAGCCAAACACATGGCGAGTCACGCCGACTCCAGCGCGGAAGGCGAGACGGACCAACAGCACCCAGTTTCCTCGACAATGACTTCATTTCCCGCTGCCAAGTCAACTTCTGTCCACCTCGAGCCTTGCGCCACCCCACACTTGGCAGACATACAGGGTCCTCCTAGGTAAACTGTGACCACGCTTACGTAGCACATGCCCGAGCCAACGCAACCTATTCAGTGCTGTCTGTTGTTCTAGGGAGCTAGCATGATTATCACTACTTAGTACTCGCCTACGCACATTATCATTGCAGACACGCTGGTGCCATCCCAGGCCAGCAATGCTTCGCAGACGACGATGATCAAAGGCTTGAAGACGCTGCAGATCTTCGGACCGTAAGGGCCAAGTCTCACTCACATAGAGAAGAACGGTCCTCACTGTGGTCTTGTATACACGATCTTACGGATGAAAGGAAACTCACTTCTGTCGCCAAAGATGCCGCAGGTTCAAGAAGGCAGTTCTGACTCTTTCAATGCGTGGATTGACTTCAGTTTCTATATGCCCATCGTTGCTGATGCAGCTGCCAAGGTAAGTGATTCGATCAGGGCTTACGGCAAACAGTCATCGCTCTTTAATATCTCCAGCGGTGTGAGACGAGGATGCCTGCTGTCACCTTTCCTTTTCAACTTCGCCATTGATGAAGCCATTTAACTCGCGTTTACAGGACACGATTTAGAAGGTGTGGATCTGCTCCCAGTAGAACGACTTCTCGACTTAGAGTATGCTGATGATATTGCCCTAATCTTTGACAGCTCACAAACGTGCCAAGCGACAATAGACAGATTAGCACTAGCTGTCCGTCACTTCGGGCTTTGCTTCGCACCCTCGAAGTGCAAAGCGTTCCTCCAAGATTGGTCTGGACCGCCTCCTACGCTGACCCTTGGTGGGGATCAGCTAGAAGTCGTTCAAAAATTCAACTACCTGGAAAGTTATATCAGCGCCCGTGGGATTGAAGATGAGATCACGAACCATATAGCAAAAGCTCGGAGTGCTTTTGCTAACCTTCGCCACTTATGGCGCCGGCGCGACATCACTCTTGCCCTGAAGAGTAGAGTGTACGATGCAGCGGTACGTTCGACCCTACCGTACGGTTGTGAAACCTGGCCGCTTAGAGCAGCGGACCTGAAGAGGCTAGTTACGTTCGACCACTGGTGCCTTCGTAATTTAGCTCACATCTTGTGGGAACACTGCGTGAGCAACGAGCGTGTTCGACGCCTTGTTTACGGCACAGGAAAAGGATCTGAACCTCTCAGCATCGTTATTTCATGCACTAGGCTCCGATGGCTCGGCCACGTGTTACACATGCCGGCCCACCGACTTCGCGATGTGCGTTGTTTGCGCGCTCATTGGTGTGGATGGAAGAAGAGGAGGGGTGGCCAAGCGATGACTTTGTCGAGAGGAATAAAGGCCTTCACTTCGGAGCTGGTCTCGGTTGGAGCGTCTCGGCTCCCTGGTTGGGGTCCGAAAGACAATGAACACGTTTGACTGGATGCACTTATTGATATGGCTAGGAGCCGACCTCAGTGGCATTCCTGCTGTGAGTCTCTTTGTCCCATTCCATCCCTCTTAGCCTCCCCTCCAACCATGACCTCACTATTTAGCCTCATATAATTTTGCATAGCAATTTTTTTTGATGCACAGTAGTCGGCTGGTTGCTTATCGGAAGGATGCCCATCCGTTACCAGTAGCTCAGCCGGCTTGCACCAGTTGCATTTTTTCTCCCTTTTTCTTTTATGTATTGCGGCATAGTAGCCGAAGTGTTTCCCACCTCTAGCTAACATGTATAATGATGATGATGAGTGCATCGATCAACCACCTCGAACTCCGCGTTAGCAAAAGTCAAGGGCTCCTAAAGTGACTGGTGGTCCTGTAGCAACACTTTGCACTTCGAAGGTGCTAACCACATACTGTAAGCGACAGAATAACCATGTAAGCCACAGACTAGATGTCAAGATCATACACCCGGTTACCACCCCCCACCCCAACGATGGCTCAGTCTTGGAACTTAAAATTTTACCTACACCAGATTGGTTCGTGAGTGCTGCATCGGCATCTCCGGATTCGTGCGACCATTAACGAAAGGATAAGCCGGGTGCAGTTAATTCAACAACCCCATTATTGTCCTTGATCCTTGTTTCGAACACACAGCACACATCAATATCCAGTGTGTCCAAGGTGCGTACGAGTGCAGCCTGTTGACCTATTTGTCTTAGAGTGCGAACATTGAACGCCGCCATGGCAACAGGACAGCGTGGCTGTATAAGGGACTGTTGCCGCCTGACGCCCGATGGGTGTCGTGGGATGGTGGCTGCAGATGGTTCTACTCCAGGTCTACTTCGGTTGCTGTCAATTAAGCTGGGAATTATAGAAGGAAGCTGATTAATGGAGGTCGGGATGGGCGTAAGAGAAACAAGTGAAAAAGGAAGAAGGGAGGCGCCAGCAGGTCAGGTTCCCAGAATGGTATAGGCTTGCGCCTAACGAGTGTCTTGGTTCTTGCACCGGCAAGCAAGCAAGGGACCCCTGTACTTCGATTTTCAGTTGCATTTCTTGCTTCTTCCAATAAAATGAAGCAAAAAGGAGGCAATCTTGTACCTTCATTCTTTATGAGTTCTCTGCAGCGAGCATCAATACGTTTACACTAGTTCTCTAAAATGTTCTAACGTCTGTCTAGACCTCTCTTTAAGCCGTCAACCGTTGTACAGTTCATCAACGAAGGTGGAAACTTGTTCCATCTGCCGCCAACGTGGTTCACGAAGTATTTCCCCCTACTATCTAGTCGAGACCTTTAATGCCTGAGCTTAAGATGATGACCTCCCACGTGTTCTTTTGTAGCTGGCTCAAACAGGTTGGTAAGATTTATGCCATTGAGGCCCTTTATAATCCGAAACAGCTCTATTAGATCACCTCTCAATCTACGCCTTTCCATGGAAAACAATCCCAAGCTCTTTAGACGTTCATCATACGGCTTTTCACGTTGACCCTCAATCATTTTAGTCGTCAGCTTCTGTATGTTCTCTATACAAATAACTTTCTTCCGAAGATACGGCGCCCACGCTTGGACACAGTATTCTGAGTAGGGTCGTACCACCGCTTCATATAATGGGAGGAATACCTCCGATCTTGTGTTACACAAAGTCTTCCTGAGGCGGAAGGGCTCCTGCCGCGCTTTGTTGGCAGCATGTTTTCGCTTATCCGCCCTGCTGTATGCAGCAGATAAGGCGACCCTTGATAATCTGTACGACGGCCGATACAGGAAGAAGTTTATGTTTGAAGAAAATATCATGGTTGTATGTGAGCTGAGGTACTACCAGGGCGCTCAGACCTAGACAGGAGGACGATTGGGGTCCTCAACCAAAGCCGTTGGCTCAAAAGTCTGTCCGCAAGGCAGTGGAGAGGTAGCAATGATTTAGTTTTACAGAAATGGACGCCTTCCCATTTCAAACCCCCAACCTGGAGGACCAGGAGACTGAGTTTGTCTGACCTCTCACCACTGACCAACCTGGTAGGAGTATCTCTCAAGGTACCCGGAGGCACCACCCATAATTGCTCAATAGGTCAAGGAGCTCCGCAAACCACGTTAACATCTAGTCTTGTTGCGACAGACTGACCCTCAGTAAAGTACGAACAAAATGCGAGTGCGCAACAACCTGGAGTCCAGTGGACACGAGAACGTGAATCAGTTGCGCTGACACAGACTGTTCTAGTTATAACGAGATTGATCAGAATATGTTGGTCTATTTGTTAATAACTGATCCTTGTACATCATCTGCTTGTTCTAACCTTTGGAATATATGCTTGTTTTGACATCTGGTTTCGAGCTCCGTTGATGTGCTTTTTAGGAAACTCACCTTCCTGCAGACATTTACGCCGAATCCATAGCTTGTTGATTCTGTGATCGTATTTGATAAGACGCAATGAGCTGTCAGCGCAGGATCTTCGATAACGATTTGGAAAAATCTACAGTGCAGCTGATTCTTCGTTTGTTTTCGCACGAGCTTTTATGGCTTCTCCAAATACAGATGGGAAAATCTACCTTCGCCAATCTGAGTTTCCCTCATACACTTCACCTAGTGTGGCATAATGTTGTCATCCCTTCGTAGCCGCAGCTTCGTAGCTGCAGCTGTAAGCAGAAATCACTAGGCTATCTTACACCAGCTCATACTTGATTCCTTCTTTGTTGGAGGGTGTCCTTAATTTTTGTTTTGATCCACTTGTTTTTCCGAACCACCGAAAGCTAATTTTCTGTCAGTTTAGTCGGCAAGCATACGGCTTGGTCAAATACCACTCCATCTCCTTTCCTCCTCGGTCGATACTGTTGGTTTGCGAATCATCAACTGCACTGGAAAATGGCCATTCATCTCTTGCTTTTGTTCATCTCCCCTCGAGGCTTTCGATGCCATTTATTACATTTGGAATAGCATGAAGTTTCTCCATGCCCGTCACTGACTCGACAGCTTAATATGGAACACCGACTATTGACATGGGTCTTCCTGACCCAACACTACAAAATCCATTACTCGCGCATTTACCCTGGTGTTATTGCCTTCAACTGACATCGGCTCTCACTCTTGCGATCGTTTCTATCCCTGTCTTTCTCACAGGCATCTCCATACGTTCCCCTTATGTCCATTTATCCGTCTATGGTAATACACTCCTTCCTTCTTTGGATTTTAGGTCAATGCGTCCTGCGGATCGTGCGACCATAACGAGTTGGTACACTACATTGGGCATCGTTGGTGATGATTGTGTGCATTTCATCATCATCCTACCACGATAGGGCCATTTGGGGTTTGGTTATCTACTCACAGAATGCGAAGTCATTAGTCGCATCTAGGCCTAATCTAAGATGTGCCTTTCGCTGCACCATCAGTTGTTGGCCTCCACTTGTCGAGCCGGTTGCTGTTTGTGTTTCTGTCATCGCTGGACGCCAATGACCAAATCGTTTCTGTTATAATTCGAGAATTGGGCTCCCACACTCAGTCGCTACCACAACCATTTTCCCATCACTCGATCCTAACAGCAGCATCCTATATCTCTGTTGGCTACGGTGGCGTCTGTTGTACCCCGGTAAATACACTAGACCTATGCGCAAATCAGGACCTGTAACACCATGGCGTACACGCACCAGCGAAAGCAGAACATTATGTATTCCGGAAAAGTGACTCATTATGGGCACAGGCGTATTAACTTCGTTGGTGCTCAATCGATAATACTCGCCTAATCAGTTACCGTGCGTGGAGTGACAGAGAATTAGCAGTAGGCGCACACATCGTCGCTTGTCCCATGGACTCACATACCTTTTTATTGAGTGGCTTTTCTTTCAGTTGGACCATGCATGTTGTGTTGCTCTATCCTTAGACAACTTCTGCAGACTGTTCTCACACATGACGTTTTATTTATCAGCTTTGCAACATTCTTCCCTGCAGCTCTGTTCACTCTATTGTTTATTCCTCTTGTAAAGATGGAGATAGCCAAGACTTATGATGTGGACTACGAACCGACTATGGAGTTTCTTAATCCAAACATAGGGCATGGTGCTGACGGAGGTGGGAATATAGAACAGCAGCTGATCAACTTCGAACCTGAATCTGCCGGTGGATTGCCCAAGTTACCTGATGGTTATTGCCCTCCAGAGCAACGCTGGATGCACACGCCCGAGTCTGGTCCAGGCGCCCCGTATCCCAGTTCGAATCCGTTCCCCGTGCCTGATGAGAATCCACCACCCATTCCATCAGATCCACCGGTTGCTACTGGCCCCGTTGGTTACTATGGTATGTCCTAATTTTTCCCTATATAATTCCTGTTGAATTACTCGTTGCACTCCAAATGTGATTCTCAGCAATGCATGATAGGGATTAAACTCTATCTTATCCTCGAACTCCCAAAGACATGGAAATTCTATGGCTAAAAAAATTAAATGACTTTTTTTACAGTAGTGCTACCAGTCACGTTTCATCAGGGATTATGCTGTTTCCAGACTTGTTTACAAAGCGATGATTCGTGTGGATGGGATAAACCCAAATCCTTGCTTTTCTGGGAGTATTCCTTGGCCAATCCGAACGAACACCTACACACCATGTTACAACACGTGACCCAATCGACCTCGAGGGCAAACCTGTCACTTCATATGAAATAGGCTATTTATACCAAATGGGGTTTCGGAGTACCATCTGTGTATTTTGGATTGCTACGTACAATCTCTATTGTGGCCTCAGTTTATTTTGACATCAAAACGGGTCATTTCGACCACTACGACTGCCTCCGAGGTGGAAAGTTTACGGTGTCACTCGCTATTTATTGTCTCCAACTCCACGAAAACGATTTATTGGAAATGCATTTGGAAGATCTGACCATCCGCCTAGCACCCACACTCTACGGGACCACCATCTTTTTCCCAACGCTTTGCTTCTCCAGAACGAGTGTTCTACAAGGGCTGGCTGATTTACCTACTACGGCAGCCACGCTAGTGTAGACTTACATGTAACTGCCTAACTAAATATATATTTTGTGGACCTGGTACTGTATTCACGAATGTATATTGCCCTTGTTATGAAAAGTGGACTTCTCTCCGTCTCAAGCCGCTTTATAAAGGATCGGTGCTGGGGTTAATGTTACACCTACCATCGCCGTTACTTTAGTTCCGCTGTACAGGCTTATCAAAACTCATTCGTTATAATGTGCTGATGCTGCATCATTCACCTGTTTTCTACTTTCTCCCACAGTGTTACTGTTTGTTATGATCTTCTCACTAGACGCGATTCCAGAATGGACACTTTACTGCTTTAGAAAGTAGAAGTCACGATTAAAATTCACGCACAACAATTTTAATCGTGACTTCTACTTTCTACAAACTTTATCTTACTCACAAACTTCCAACATTAATCTACCATCACCCATTGGACATTCGAAGGACAGGTACTTCAGCCCATTGGGAAGTGACGGGTGAGTGAGCCAATCTGCAACACCAGGACAGGTACTGTTAGCCCATTGGCAATACGTCGCGCACCAACCAGAAGTCAAGTGTTAAAATTTGCGCACCTAATCGTCAGCCCTCGGTAGCTCAGTGGTAGAGCAGCGGACCGGAAATTCGTGGACCGGGGTTCGATTTCCCGTCGAGGCACATTATTGTGCGTGAATTTTAATCGTGACTTTTAATTTCTACAAACTTTACCTTACTCACAAACTTCCAACTTTACTGCCTCACAAAACTTCTAGCCCAACCGAGGGAAGAAGTAGGACACCAATGACCTTGACATAATAACATGTTAACCGCCATCGTCAAAACTGTACAACTGCCGCGGACCTTGACTGTATTTATAGGTCTATTCGACTTCTGGAATTGGCAGGGCAACTACCAAGCTTAGTGGTTCCCCATAGATTTGGCTGAGATGTCAGGTGGTTGGTAGTCACGTGCAGAACTTAGTGCATTCCAGAACGTTCGAAATCGATGCGATAATCATTAATAATCGATTAATCGCTAAAATAGTGGATTTTCCAAGCAATTCTTACTTTCTCCCGGACACCTCCCCTCCTGATATATCGTCCAAGGTATACGATGAAAGCCTAAGATTAACTTGCAGTCTTCGGGACGCGGTTCTCTGTCTTTCATCATCCTCATCATCAGTGCACGTTAGCTGAGGGTGAGAAACACCTCCGCTAATGTGCCTCAATACAAAAGATAAGATACTAAAAAATTGCATTACAAACTACACTACAAAACCAGGATGTTGTATATTATTTTAAGCGTTTTGCATGAGATCGGGATTGGAGAGAAAACCTAAAAGGAGGTGGATGGACCAAAAAACTCACAACACAAACGCCATTAAAGCCGGCGCTTCGCCACATCAGCTGGTGTATCCAAACAAATGTGTTCATCCTCCTTAGGCCCCCAGCCTGGCAATCGGAGTTCACCAACCCACGCCAGTTTCGAAGTGGGGGTTTTCATTCCCCTCGACCCAGTCGTCGCTTGGCCTCCCCTCCTCCTCTTCCAACCGCACCCCCGGCACGCAAACAATGCACGTCGCGGGAGTCGGTGTGTTGGCATGCGCGACACCTGGCCCAGTTATCGGAGCCTGTTGTGTGATATCGTAGTGCTGAGCGCTTCATTCGCTCTTCCTGCACCAAATACGCGACGCCGAACACGCTCATTGCTCACGCGGTTCTCCCACCAGACATGAGCTAAGCTGCGAAGACAGCGATGATCGAACGCGACGAGCCTCCTTATGTCTGTCGGCCTGATGGACCGGGTTTCACAACCATATAGGAGGTTTGAACGGATGGTTGCGTTATAAACTTGGCTTTTCAGGGGGAGAGTAATGTAGCGTCTGCGCTACAGGTGGTAGAGATTGGCAAAAGCAGCTCGAGCTTTTGCTCTACGGTTCGTAACCTCATCTTCGATCCCACGAGCGCTAATATAGCTGCCCAGGTACTTGAGTTCCTGAACGACTTGAAGCTGATCACCGCCAAGCGTTAGCGCAGGGGTGGGTCCCTGCCAATCTTGGAGAAGTATTTTTCGTTTCGATGGAGAAAATCTTAGCCCAAAACGGTAGACAGTCAGTGCTAATCGGTCCAGTGTTGCTTGGGATTTTTGGGAACTGTCACAGATTAGGGCAATGTCGTCTGCATAGTCCAAGTCAAAAAGTTGATCACCAGAAAGTAGCTCCACACCTTCTATGTTGGGTCCAGCGAATGCTATTTCCATGACTTCGTCAACTGCGGAGTTAAATAGTAAAGATGACAGCGGGCAACACTGTCTCACACCACTGGTGATACTGAAGGTTGGCGACAGTTTGCCATAAAACCTCACTCTGCCTGAACTATGCGCGTACAGCGCTTTACTAATGTTCACGTATTTATCAGGCACACCTTTCCTCAGCACACAGTCCCAAAGCGCGCATCCATCGACCGAATCGAAGGCACCTCTTATTTCAAAAAACACGACAACAGTGGGTCGCCAATAAACATGGCGGTGCTCCAACAATTGACGCAAGGTGAAGAAGTGGTCGATGCAGCCCCGACCTCGACGAAATCCGGCTTGCTCTTCACGAATCTTGCTTTCACGAGGGCTAGCCAGTCTGTGGAGAAAGACAGACGCATGCAATTTAAAGGCCATTGAGATCAGGCTGATCCCTCTATGATTGCCGCATTCCGAACGGGAGCCTCCCTTGAAAATTGGGACAATGATGGAACGGTTCCAGTCTGTCGGGACAGTCTCCTGCTCCCAAACTTTCACTAGCAACTCGTGTACTTCATCTCTTCAAGCAGGTCCCCCGAATTTGAAGAGGCTGGGGGAATTCTATCCTCCCCTGCGGCCTTATGCAATTTCAACAGCCTGATCTCACGTTCGACTTCTGCGCGTGAGGTCGGATCCAAGGAGAACGGCACTCAATGCCCGAAAAAGAAAGCGATAACTGAGGTTGGTTAAATTGCCTTGCAAACTGTTCGGCTTAACACTCTAAGCATCTTGACAGGCTGTGGATAGGTTGTCCATTCTCGTCGCGTATGGTCTTGCTAACACCAGGTCTCCTGCTGCCTGTTTCCCGTATCAGACGGAATAACTTACGATGATTACCAACGGTAGCGGCTGTTTCCATCTCCAAGGCACGATGAGACCACCAAGTTTCGCGGTCTTTCTTCAGGCTAGCACTCAGTTTTGCCCTGATATTTTTGCGAGCCTCATTGTATTCGCTTCCAGCCGGAATACGTCGGCGAGCATCCATAAGTTCCAGAGGCTGTGTAGTGACCCAATGTCCAGTTTGGCAATTTGATTTGCCACATGACGACATGCCTGCTGATAATAACGTTTGACGAATATGCGACCAGTGATCTTCAACGGTGTTCAGTGGGCGCTTACTCAGTCCGGATGTCAGCGCACTTTGATACACAATATGAAACTGCTTGATGTTCCCTTGAATTCCGTGTGCAACAAAGTAAGCGACGCATCTGCAGAGTGGACGGAGTCTTTACAGAAGAAATATCCGCAGGTGTTTCAAGATGGTCTGGGACTGTGCACGAAAACCAAGGCTAGTTTATCCCTACGGCCAGACGCCAAGCCAGTCTTCCGCCCGAAGAGACCGGTTCCGTATGCAGTAGTTTCAATCGTCGACCAAGAACTTGACAAACTACAGTCACCTGGAGTTACCAAACCGACCAGTTACTCTTCATTGGCAGCCCCCATTGTGATTGTCCAAAAACCAAACGAAAAAATCCGCTTATGTGCGGATTACTCTACTGGCCTGAATGCTGTCTTAGAAGACCACAGGTACCGTCTACCCCTCCCTGAAGACCTTTATGCACGTCTGAACGGTGGCAAGTGTTTTGCCAAACTGGACTAGTCAGACGCATATCTCCAGATTGAAATATCGGAGGAATCGCGTGAGTTGCTAACGATTAATACTCACATGGTACTATTCCAGTGTACACGCCTACCATTTGGCGTCAAGCCGGCCCCGGCGATCTTTCAGTAGATCATGGATACGATGCTACAGGGAATATGCCACTGCATACCTAGATGATGTCATTTCTGACAAAATGCTTCTTGAACGGGCAGAATTTGACCAAGTAGCATTCGCCACATTGCCAGCATGCAGATGGTGGTCTGTTTGACTTCACTGAGTTTTTGACCGTCGCTGGACTTCCGCGCTGGTTTGATACCGCCAACACATCCATGGCAGACAGACTGTGGCCTTGGGCAATCATGTTCGTGTCGCGCTTCAAGTTGATTAACCTCTGGAATTTGAAACTAATGGACATGAGATTGATGAACGGGTCC